ACTATACTCTCATACATTCCCCTCTTTGCCTCCAAGGACAAAGTTCTTTGTCTCCACAGACTCCTAAGTGCACCACTCACTCTTTTTCCCTCATCAATTCTATGATTCACCTCATCTTTCATAGACCCATCCGCTGACACGTCCACTCCCAAATATCTGAATAAGTTCACCTCCTCCATACTCTCTCCCTCCAATCTGATATCCAATCTTTCATCACCTAATCTTTTTGTTATCCTCATAACCTTACTCTTTCCTGTATTCACCTTTAATTTTCTTCTTTTGCACACCCTACCAAATTCATCCACCAATCTCTGCAACTTCTCTTCAGAATCTCCCAAGAGCACAGTGTCATCATGTAAATCTATATTTAAGCTAGGGAAGTGACCCCTGAAGTGACCTAAAGTCCTTATGGAGGGGGATTCCCCTTCCAAACAATAACCTCTCTTCCCTCTCTCCTCCTCCCTGTCTTCCATTCATCAACAACAGCCTTCAATAAAGGTAACTGTCATGTTGAATGTTCATTCTTTTGTGCATGTAAAAAAAATTCTTGTTGATACTTCTGGGTGTCTGAAACGAATTAATTGGATTTACATTATTTCTTATGCGGAAAATGGATTCGAAAATCGTCAATTTTCATAATAGTCACATGTCCAGGAACAGATTAATTACGAAAAACGAGGGACCACTGTACAAAGTATTTATAGGTCCCAACAATGTTTAGACATGAAACTTCTTGAAGAATGGTGTTATGACAAGGGTCAGATAACAAGTGACAGCCAGTGACATTTGATGAATGTGCACTGCTGGGGGTAACCTTGCCTTTATATGTTTTTACTCGGGCACACAAACATGTCTCCGTATGTCTGTCAGTCTGCCTGTCTATCTGTCTAGCTCTGCTTATCTGTCTGCCTGTGTGTGTGTGTGTCTTTCCATCTGCTTGTCTCTGTCTTAGGGAGTGGCTAGTAAACCTGTTGGTTTGTGGTGTATGAGCTACTCCCTGATTGTTGAGCAAGTGACACTGCTATTACCTGTGTCAGGTTTATGTCTTGTATCTACACTGTATAACTCTTGGCCTGGAATTTTTAGGTTATCCTAGGTAATTTACATGTGTAATAACTGTACTTATGAATACATTTGAGAGACAGATATAGACAAAATAAAGATAGACAGAGATATAGACAGATTGTTGTTGTTTGTCCGTCGATTCGGCGAGGATTATGCTGTGGAACTACTGGGCTGAGGTGGATGGCAGAGGTCCTGGTACTGAAGTAGATGGTTGTACTGGAGTGTCTAAGTCATTCCATCAGTCAAGTCATTCATTCAGTCAGTCAAGCAAGTTTTTCAGTCAAGTCAGTAAGTCATTCAGTCAAGTCAGTAAGTCATTAAGTCAGTAAGTCAGTCATTAAGTCAGTAAGTCAGTCATTAAGTCAGTAAGTCAGTCACTAAATCAGTCAGTAAGTCAGTCATTAAGTCAGTAAGTCAGTCATTAAGTCAGTAAGTCAGTCATTCATTAAGTCAGTCAGTAAGTCAGTCATTCATTAAGTCAGTCAGTAAGTCAGTCAGTAAGTCAGTCAGTAAGTCAGTCAGTAAGTCAGGCATTAAGTCAGGCATTAAGTCAGGCATTAAGTCAGTCATTAAGTCAGTCATTAAGTCAGTCATTAAGTCAGTCATTAAGTCAGTCATTAAGTCAGTCATTAAGTCAGTCATTAAGTCAGTCATTAAGTCAGTCATTAAGTCAGTCATTAAGTCAGTCATTAAGTCAGTCATTAAGTCAGTCATTAAGTCAGTCATTAAGTCAGTCATTAAGTCAGTCATTAAGTCAGTCATTAAGTCAGTCATTAAGTCAGTCATTAAGTCAGTCATTAAGTCAGTCATTAAGTCAGTCATTAAGTCAGTCATTAAGTCAGTCATTAAGTCAGTCAGTAAGTCAGTCAGTCAGTAAGTCAGTCAGTAAGTCAGTCAGTCAGTAAGTCAGTCAGTCAGTAAGTCAGTCAGTCAGTAAGTCAGTCAGTAAGTCAGTCAGTCAGTCAGTCAGTAAGTCAGTCAGTCAGTCATTAAGTCAGTCATTAAGTCAGTCAGTAAGTCAGTCATTAAGTCAGTCATTAAGTCAGTCATTAAGTCAGTCATTAAGTCAGTCATTAAGTCAGTCATTAAGTCAGTCATTAAGTCAGTCATTAAGTCAGTCATTAAGTCAGTCATTAAGTCAGTCATTAAGTCAGTCATTAAGTCAGTCATTAAGTCATTCAGTCAGTAAGTCAGTCAGTAAGTCAGTCAGTCAGTAAGTCAGTCAGTAAGTCAGTCATTAAGTCAGTCATTAAGTCAGTCATTAAGTCAGTCATTAAGTCAGTCATTAAGTCAGTCATTAAGTCAGTCATTAAGTCAGTCATTAAGTCAGTCATTAAGTCAGTCATTAAGTCAGTCATTAAGTCAGTCATTAAGTCAGTCATTAAGTCAGTCATTAAGTCAGTCATTAAGTCAGTCATTAAGTCAGTCATTAAGTCAGTCATTAAGTCAGTCATTAAGTCAGTCATTAAGTCAGTCATTAAGTCAGTCATTAAGTCAGTCATTAAGTCAGTCATTAAGTCAGTCATTAAGTCAGTCAGTAAGTCAGTCAGTAAGTCAGTCAGTAAGTCAGTCAGTAAGTCAGTCAGTAAGTCAGTCAGTAAGTCAGTCATTCAGTAAGTCAGTCATTCAGTAAGTCAGTCATTCAGTAAGTCAGTCATTCAGTAAGTCAGTCATTCAGTAAGTCAGTCATTCAGTAAGTCAGTCATTCAGTAAGTCAGTCATTCAGTAAGTCAGTCATTCAGTAAGTCAGTCATTCAGTAAGTCAGTCATTCAGTAAGTCAGTCATTCAGTAAGTCAGTCATTCAGTAAGTCAGTCATTCAATAAGTCAAGTCAAGTCAAGTCAAGTCAGTCAGTCATTCAGTAAGGCATTCGGTCAGCCATTCAGTAAGTCAGTCAGTCAGTCATTAAGTCAATCAGTTACACAAACTTATGTTTACCTCTTTTTGTGTGTACAAAGTAACACTTCATTAAGGCCACAGGTTATCTTGTCTAATATCTTTGTTTTCTTTGTTAATTCTAAAACTTAAATGCTTATACCTTTTCTTCCCACTTTCAGCAACATCGGTATGGCTACTGAGTGTCATGATTGCTTGGCAGATACAAGATATAGTAATTAAAAGATCAAAACAATTCACAAACACAGCTAGCTTGTATCAGAGAAGAAGGACTGGACACACATGAAGTACAAATGCTGGGATGGTGGGGTGGTGTCGAGGTGTGGCAGGAGGATGTAGGGAGGTCTCCCCCGCTGATCCACAACAAGGCGGCAGCTTTGAGGAAAATTGAATTTTTTTTTCCTCCCCACAAACTGAACTGTGTTAAATTAACTTTACGACGTGTTACATAAAATTGTGCTGCAATTCTCCAAATGTGCTATACCTGAATCGAGCCAAATAAACTCGTGCTAAATGACAGTCTACTGTAACATATACTGGTAACAGCTTTTTCAGCATTTCCTCGTTCATACATCTAAATGGTGACAATCTTTTGTCAATGGTAACTCCTATAACAGTCCTCTGGTGCCCATAAAGGCATCAGAGGGAATGTTGGTTAGCCTGTTTTCAGTTTCACTATTTGTATTACAAGACACATATTCACATTATAATCCATAATCCATCTCTTATACCACTCGCTGAATCTGTTCATGTCTTCCATTAGGAAAGTATTCTTATTCTGCAGAATAAGAATCTTCCTTTATTTTGTATCACCCTACCAAGGTAGGGTGATCCAAAATAAAGGAAACATATTCGTCATCAATCATTCATTACCTCTCTTGACAGAAGTGTGCAAATATCACAATTACAATGATCCTCCAAACCACAACATCCCTACCCCTCCCTGAGTGAGGGGACTGTACTTCCCACCTCCAGGATTCAAGTATCACTAGCTTTCTTCCTGAATTCCTTCATAAATGCTTTCTTCCAGGATTCCTTCATAAATGCTTTCTTCCTCAATTCCTTCATAAACGTTACCTTGCTCACACTCCAATAACATGTCCAGCCCTAGGAAGCACTTGTCTAAATTCACTCTGATCTAGCATACCCACACAAGTCTGCTGGATGCTCAAGCCCCTAACACTCAAAACCTTCATTATCATCCTCCCTCCAAATCTTGCTGGGACAACCCTTGCCCCTCACTCCTTCCACTCCCAATTTATACACAAAATCATCTTTTTTCTCCCCATCCTATTTAAATACCCATATCACCTCAGCAACCCTTCTTCAGCCCTCTGCTCTGAATTTTGCGCAGAATATTCAAACCACACATTACCCTCAAACATTCCTCTCTTTTGCCTCAAACTTCCTCCTAACTGCAATGTTTAAAGCCAATACCTTACATCCACATAACAGTGTAACTCCTGTTATACTTTGGTACATTGCTCTTTATCTCTACAGATACCTCAATGCACCACTCACCTATTTTCCTTTGTCTATGGTTTACCTCGACTTTTATAGACCCATCTGCTGAGACATTCACCCTCATATATCTGAATATATTTCAATACTGCATGCATCCTTCCTCCAATCTGATATCTAATCTTTCACTGCCTACATTTTTTGTTACTCTCACCACCCTGCTCTATCCTACGTTCAGTTTTAAAATATATAATAAATTAAGCAAATTAACAAATTTCTACTAAGCAGTTCAGTGAAAACTTTAATAATGAAAATTGTGCTAAAGAATGTGAAGGGAGTCTTAATTTATTACACTTCAAACTTTCCAGAAAGAGCCCAGTACAGCACTACATGAGGGCCCTGAGAACCGACAAATTAAACTGAAAAACTAATACAATACTTAGAAGTACAAATGAATAAGGTTACGCTTTCTGATAAATAGCACAGAACTACAAATCATGATGCATCAACTGAAATATGAAAAATACCAACCATTCTATGCTTTTAAACCAAAAACGTTAATATAATGCACATCTCACTTGTCTATAATCTCGAAAATCTCTCCACTGTTGCCCAAACGCATCCTTAAAATCAGCTGGCCTCAAGGATGAGTACTTGCCACACCAAATTTTGTGCGTTAACTGGGAAAACTGGCCAGCTAAGGAGTCCTTTGTGTTTAAATTGTTGTGATGGTGACTGAAGAAATACTGAAAGAAAAAGAAAAGCCACGTAACAAATAAAGTTTGGTTTGTTTCTACATCATTTTTTTTTTTTAAACTTATGATTCAACCTCACCTCTGAAGAAATTAATCTTGTTTGGAAATTCCTGATCTAAAATGAAAGCTTCTGCATATGTCATGTAGTGACACTACTTCTGCTGAGGAGACAGTAAGCCTTCTGACATAATACAAGTCTTTTCAGTGGACCACTGAAAATAATATAATGCTCTTCAAGGAATAATTTCACCTATGATGCTACAGAAAAAAAAAAATTAAAGCACAGAAAACCTCTCAAATAAGAGACATATAAGGGACTAGTAAAGAAGAAAGGTAATTTTATGTTCAAAAGACACAAGTGTTACTGCAGTATTAACAAAAGGGAATATATAGACTGGATAATAAGAATTTTTCCCTTGGGGAAGTGGAGAAAGATCCTTCCTCGGTAAGCCATGCATGTCATAAGAGAACTAAAATGCCAGGAGCAAGGGGCTATTAACCCCTTCTCCTGTATAAATTACTAAATGTAAAAGGAAATGTAAAAGTTTTTCTTTTTAGGTCACCCTGCCTCAGTGGGAGATGGCCAGTGCATTAAAAAAGTCAAAATATTTAATGCCATGGATATGATGCAATATTTTTTTACTTGCTAGACTAGAATACTATAGTACACAGCCCTATAAAAAGAAAAGTGATTTTATAGATCTGTAAACTGTGCACTGAACCTTAACTGCTCTTAGGTATTTAGCAACAATTCAATTATTAGCAATAACTAAAATCCCTCAAACCACACTTCATGGAGTGCAGGCAATAAAGATGTATCATAATTTATATCTGGAAGATAATGGAGGGACTGATAACAAATCTCCTCTCTCATGAAAGTGAAAAACATGGCAAACTGCAAAAATCAGCCCAAATAAAGAGTGCAATAGGTACCTAAAGGGTTAACTAAGGCTTTTCAATACTGTTCAAGGGTAAAAGAAATTACATAGTGGCCATCAGCTCTCTTGAAGGAGTCTTCAAATATCTACATATTATTTCTTACCAGCTGGGCTGAGCAACCCACATCAGACTACAGTAAACAAGTACCAACAGCGTGACTTTCAGCATGTAGACACTCGTCAGTGTTAACATGCTAACTTTTTTTTTCTTTTACGAACACTAAACACTTCGCCTAAGTCAATGCTTCACTCCATATGGGGCCAATGTAATAAAGTAAAAAACCTTAAGACAAGCAATTATAGCTCGCAGTTTCAATGTTATGCAATAAAAATTTAAGTTTTCATTTCTAAAAGGGTAAGACAACTATTGGAGGATAGATGAGCTAGTGAGAGTATAGGCAATGGGGTCGAAAAAGTATGGGGGTAGGTTTAGGAATGTAATGTTAGTGTTTTCAGCAGAAGTTTGTGGTCACAGGAAAGAGGATGGAGGGAGGGGTGAAGAACGACTAGTGGAATGATGTAAAGAGAGCAGTAAGGGAGAAAAAATTAGCATATGAGAGGTTTTTACAAAGTAGAAGTGATGCAAGGAGGGAAGAGTATACGGAGAGATAGAGAGAGGTTAAGAGAGTGGTGAAGCAATGTAAAAATAGAGCAAATAAGAGAGTGGGAGAGATGTTATCAACAAATTTTGTTGAAAATAAAAAAAAGTTCTGGAGCGAGATTAATAAGCTGAGGAAGCCTAGGGAACGAATGGATTTGACAGTTAAAAATAGGTGAATCATAGAATTGATGAGGGAAAAAGAGTGAGTGGTGCACTTAGGAGTCTGTGGAGACAAAGAACTTTGTCCTTGGAGGCAAAGAGGGGAATGTATGAGAGTATAGTTTTACCAACGCTCTTATATGGGTGTGAAGCGTGGGTGATGAATGTTGCAGCGAGGAGAAGGCTGGAGGCAGTGGAGATGTCATGTCTGAGGGCAATGTGTGGTGTGAATATAATGCAGAGAATTCGTAGTTTGGAAGTTAGGAGGAGGTGCGGGATTACCAAAACTGTTGTCCAGAGGGCTGAGGAAGGGTTGTTGAGGTGGTTCGGACATGTAGAAGAGAATGGAGCGAAACAGAATGACTTCAAGAGTGTATCAGTCTGTAGTGGAAGGAAGGCGGGGTAGGGGTCGGCCTAGGAAGGGTTGGAGGAGGGGGTAAAGGAGGTTTTGTGTGCGAGGGGCTTGGACTTCCAGCAGGCATGCGTGAGCGTGTTTGATAGGAGTGAATGGAGACAAATGGTTTTTAATACTTGACGTGCTGTTGGAGTGTGAGCAAAGTAACATTTATGAAGGGATTCAGGAAACCGGCAGGCCGGACTTGAGTCCTGGAGATGGGAAGTACAGTGCCTGCACTCTGAAGGAGGGGTGTTAATGTTGCGTTTAAAAACTGTATGTAAAGCACCCTTCTGGCAAGACATGAGGAGTGAATGAGGGGAAAAATTTTTTTCTTTTTCGGGCCCACCCTGCCTGGGGGAATCGGCCATGTATAAAATAATAATAGTTTTTAAAAAGGGAAGTTAGAGGTATTGGAAGAGGGGGGGAATATTTTGAGGAACTGTTAAATTTAGAAAAAGGGGAAAGCTGTGATATCGTGTAAAGCGAAAAGAGGAATTTTCATTTCGAAATGTGGGAAGACCAGTTGTGAGTGGGGGAGGTTTTTGAGGCAGTGGGGAGAATAAAGAGGGGAAGGCAGCTGGGGGTTTACGGATAAAATAGAAAGTTAAAAGCAGGTATGGAAAAGTTTTCGAGGGCTGGTATTATTTAATAAAAAGTATGGGAAAAGGGTAAGGTACATAGGGATTTGCATGGCATAGTTTTCCTTTGTAAAAGGAAAAAGGGGCAAAAATTTCAAAAAAATTTGGGAAGAAGTCTGCGAGTATACCGGTAAAGAGTATGGGAGAATTATTCTGAAAGAATTAAGGTAGGGAAAAGAGCGGGTAGCAGCTGAACGAAAAGGCTTTAGGAAAGGTAGGGGGTGTTAGCAAGTGTTTACATGAAAGATAAGGGTTTAAAATTTAATATACTTTTTATATAATTTTTTTTTTTTTCAACAGTCGGTCGCTCCCCCCGAGGCAGGGTGACCCAAAAAAAAAGAAAGAAAATCCCCCCAAAAAAAAAATACTTTCATCTCATTCAACACTTTCCCCCCACTCACCATTATCACTGCTTTTTCAAGGTGCTCAAATACAACAGCTTAGAACATATAGTATAAAGATACACCCAAAAAATCCCCCCAAACGCCAATACCCCAAACCCCCCTTTAAAGTGCAGGCATTGTACTTCCCATTTCCGGGACTCAAGTCCGACTATATGAAAATAACCGTTTCCCAATTTTTTTTTATTATCACACTGGCCGATTCCCACCAAGGCGGGGTGGCCCGAAAAAGAAAAACTTTCAACCATCATTCACTCAATCACTGTCTTGCCAGAAGGGTGCTTTAACACTACTTTTTTTAAACTGCAAATTAACACCCCTCCTTCAGAGTGCAGGCACTGTACTTCCCATCTCCAGGACTCAAGTCCGGCCTGCCGGTTTCCCTGAATCCCTTCATAAATGTTACTTTGCTCACACTCCAACAGCACGTCAAGTATTAAAAACCATTTGTCTCCATTCACTCCTATCAAACACGCTCACGCATGCCTGCTGGAAGTCCAAGCCCCTCGCACACAAAACCTCCTTTACCCCCTCCCTCCAACCCTTCCTAGGCCGACCCCTACCCCGCCTTCCTTCCACTACAGACTGATACACTCTTGAAGTCATTCTGTTTCGCTCCATTCTCTCTACCCTGCTCACGCTCCAATAGATCGTCAGGTCCCAAGTATCATTCGTCTCCATTCACTCCTATCTAACACGCTCATGCACGCTTGCTGGAAGTCCAAGCCCCTCGCCCACAAAACCTCCTTTACCCCCTCTTTCCAACCTTTTCGAGGACGACCCCTACCCCTCTTTCCTTCCCCTATAGATTTATATGCTTTCCCCTGTCATTCTACTTTATCCTTTCTCTCTAAATGACCAAACCACCTCAACAAAACCCTCTTCTGCCCTCTGACTAATCTTTTATTAACTCCACACCTTCTCCTAATTTCCACACCCGAATTTTCTGCATAAATTTACAACCACACATTCCCTTAGACTGACATCTCCACTGCCTCCAACCGTCTCCTCCTGCTGCATTTACCACCCTAAACTTCACATCCATATAAGAGTGTTGGTAGTACTATACTTTCATACATTCCCTTCTTTGCCTCCATAGATAATGTTTTTGACTCCACATAACCCCAACGCACCACTCACCTTTTTTCCCTCATCAATTCTATGATTAACCTCATCCTTCATAAATCCATCCGCCGAAACGTCAACTCCCAAGTATCTGAAAACATTCACTTCCTTCCATACTACCCTCCTCCCCAATTTGATATCCAATTTTTCTTTACTAAATCATTTGATACCCTCATCACCTTACTCTTTTCTATGTTCACTTTCAACTTTCTACCTTACACACATTCTCAAACTCATTTCCCCTAACCTTTGCAATTTTTCTTTAGAATCTCCCATAACACAGTATCATCCAAAAAGTAGCTGTGTCAATTCCCATTTTTTAATTTGATTCCCCATAATTTAATCCCACCCCTCTCCCGAACAACCCTAGCATTATTACTTCTTTTACAACCCCATCTATAAATATATATACAAAACAATTCGCCCATGTGACATTACACATCCCTGTCTAAGACCTTACTTTTACCGGGAAAGTATTCCCCCTCTCTCTACATACCCTAACCTGAGCCTCACAATACTCATAAAAGCTCTTTACAGCATTTATTAACTTACCACATATTTCCATATACTTGCAACATCTGCCACAATGGCACCTCGATTGCACTCTATCACATGCCTTTTCCTAAATCCATACAAGCAATAAAAAACTCCCTACCTTTATCTACGAAATAGCTGTCACATATATTCTTCAATGTAAACATTGATCAACAACATCCCCTACCCACTTCAGAA